AAACTGTTGTAGCTGTATTTATTTTGTTAGTCAATAGAGATGAATGCATTGGAGATTTTATTTTTCTCGTTAAGGGATGCATTTACTTATGTTCAAGAAAGAAGATTCTGTATTAATCCTAATGCTGGATTTGTCCATCAACTTCAGGTAATGTTTTTCTTGGCTATTACATACATCATATGGCTGTCCTTTCCAGCCAGTTATGTATCTACTTGTGCAACTAAATATCAGTATTTCTTGAGTGGTTTAAAATTAACCTAACTAGAATGTTTGTTAGCGTTCTCTGATACTCATTTATCTGGAATTATTTGCGGGAAGAAGAGAGTAGTTACTATAAGCAGCAGAATCAAGCTTTGAAAAAAAGCAACTTCAGACATGAGTAAGAAATGAAAATCTGTTACTTCATACATCATCTTAGCGCTTCTTTAACTACTGGTTAGTCTGCGGCCAACAGAGAACGTCAAAGCAGTTATTGTGGTGTAAATGTATAGCCATTACATTTATTGGCCTAGTGTCCCAGAACAAAGTATGAAAATTGAATAAAGCAAGCTCAGTAGTAAGGTTTGAAGTCACTATGCCACCAGATTTAAATAGATCTTTTGTGTAAATGGTTGGGAAACCTCCGGGGTGATGTACTGAAATGGGCTTGTAGTGCTTGGCAGTCATCCACTTTGCTAGCTGGTGGTGAGACAATTAATTTAGATTGATTTGTATAATATCTTCTTTGTAGGATGCCTCTCCTTTGTGGTCATTTTATTTTTAAATGTGTGGCATTTGCCAGTAAATACCCTGTCTTCATCTTCATGGCCCTATGCAATTGTCTAAAATCACTGCAGTAGTTCTATATTGACAGTTCAGTTGCTTTATAGTGCAGGTCCCCTTCCTAGAGCCAACACTGCCTTCTTTTCCCTCAGCATCCTGCCTTGGGAACCTGAGTTCAAGCGACTTTGGGTTGAGTGCCCCTGCTGTCAGAGGGATGCCCTCTCTTTCCTCCACTCTGCCCCGACTGTCTTAGTTGAATACTAATTGCAACAAGAAAGAGAAATGGAGCTAACAAGATGGATCTGTTCCAATAAGCATAACTCATTGTTTACTAAACCTTTTTATTCCCATAAGCCCTCCTCTGACCTTTGTCCTAAGCAGCTTTCTCTCTAGCTTGCAGTCCTGTGTCTCCTGACTTTGCACAGGGCCATACATGCCTAGTAACGTGTCCTTATTTGTTTAGGAATATGAAGCCATCTATCTAGCAAAATTAACTATCCAGATGATGTCACCACTGCAGCTGGAGAGATCACTCTCTGTTCCACCTGGATCTACAGGTGAGAATTGTCTTCCGTTCTGTGTAACTGAAACCTTCCCTCCAAAAGGCAGGGATGTGCTTGGTTTTGTGACGTGTTCTCCATTGGCACCAGTGGTCAGGCTTACGCCTGCAGTGCGTGTTTCCCTCTGGGTTAAAAAATGACTTCAACTGGTATATAAGGATGGCTGCAAACGTGTTTAGGATGGAGTATTGATAGGCTGACTTTGGCATGCTGAAAGCCTGGATCCAGACTCGGGCAGCCAATAATCAGAGCATATTCCATGTCTGCAGCCAGAACAGCTCTGCTTCGGAGGTAGTATTTTGCTGTTTCAGTTGAGCGAACAGGGCACTTTTGAAATGTTACCTTTAGTCTTCCCCTATCACAGTGTCCTGACAGCAGCCTCCACGCAGGCTAGGCAGGGGGCACATGCAGTGATGATAAAAGAGTAAGGACTTAAAAGCACACACCCACTGTGCATGCTCAGATACGGTTTCTCAGTTGCTTACTCTTTAATTTACCCTTTGTTAGATTGAATATGAGCTGCAGCCCTGTCTGGTAACAAAGTGCACTTGAAATGTTGTACAGTGGGGAAGAATGCTGCCTTTGTTAACTCTCCCTCCTGTAAGCCAAATGGCTGCACATACTTGGCTCAAACTTGGCTTGTGGGGAGAGGAAGCATAGTCAGAGACCTAGCCTGGAAAATTTCACCCCCACAAGGTGCAAGTTTTGGAAGTGTGTGCAGATTTGAGTTTTTAATGCAAAAACTGTCTTATGAGCTCAATTATAGTCCGTGCTTATAACTGACTTCGTAAAGCATATTCTCTGATCTTTTTTTTTTTAGGAAGTTTGAAGCGAACACATGAGGATGAAGAAGAATTTGGAAATATGCAAGTGGCAGCAGCACAGAATGGGTGACATGTAGGGCACCGCTATTCAGAGGTTGTGAATTCTTGCACATGGAAGTGAAGAAAACTAGAAAAGACGAACTAATGCAGAACAATGAACACATCCATAGCTTCTTTTCAAATACATGTTGCTTCCAGATGTAAATCTGCCTCTGCAACACACTAGGCAACATTTTAATATGTTGGACTTCTTGAACGAATAGATGGCACTGATTGTTTTACTCCTTTTTTACACTTTGCAGTTTTATTCTATCCCAAGATTTTTGGACTTGCAAAGAGGTATTATTGCAATAATGCACTTTTCATACTTGAAATGTCTTTATTTGTATGATATAAAGTTATTACTTTAAACAAAATGCAAGCTGGGGGGGATTTGTTTATAAAGTTATTTGTGTAATTTATAACAAGAGACTTTAGTAAAGAAAAATTTGCTAAAATTCACTGTGTTCTAAGTATCTATTGCAGCTTAAAGTTACTCCACAAACATACAAAAAGTGAAACTATATGCGGTTTTACAAGCTTCTATATCCCTTCTGCTGTTAGCAGGCCTGAACAGCATTAACTTATCTTCACAATAAAACCCTGTTATGTAGCAATTTATTTTGAAATACACTGAGTACCTCTAGTTAGTCTTTGAGAAGAGGAAATACTGAACTAAAAGCCTCTGTTACTATAATGCAGGCTAATCTAGTAACTGCATCTGATTTCAATTATTAAAATGGTCATGTGTTAAACTAACCACAGAGGAAGCCACCATCTCAATTTGATGTGTATTAGGACTGAAGTCTTTCTATTAGCAAGCAGGGATGGATACGTTTTTGTCAAATTTAGTTGTCAGCCAATAGTTGATGTAACAAAATCAAAAATAGATCCACTGCCTACCAATTAATTCTCAATGCCTTTCCAGTCTATTGTATCAAACGAGAGCCTTCAAACTAGTAGCTTTGAAAACATACGGCAAGACTGGAGACTGGTAAAGTGAACGGAGGAACACTGACATTTCTGAAAATGCTTTCACACAAACACCAGTGTGTGTCTTTGCCACTGAAGATAAGAGCTATACCCCTCCAAACGATTAAAATTAATACATTCTGTTTAAAAAACACTGGGCTGTGTCGCCTTGACTCTGGCTATTGAGCCACAGTTCTGCTCTGCATGAAGGGGGCGGGGTTGTTGATTGGGTGACTGTGTGACTTAGGCCCTACTTCCCTGAGAGAAGGGATTGTTACTATTGACCCTGGCCGCTAGGCATGACTGCCTCGCTGAGAAGGGGCTGAGTTATTGACTCTGGGCCATTGAAACTGGTAAACGTGGGGTTGAGCACCCTTTGAGGGGCCTGATACCCAACCCCTTCAGGGGATGGGGCACTTGCACCATGACAGTTTCCTTTTTTATTTTTTCTGTCTTTCCTCCTTTGTCTATTCTTCCTTCTTTCCTTCCTTTCTGATTTTTTGTTGTTTCTACATTTTGTTTAATTTTTTCTTTTCTCTGTCTTCTGATTCTTTTGTTCTTTGTTTTTGGGTTCTGTTTTTTCTTTTTTTGTTTGTTTTTATTCCTTCCTTTCTTATTTGTTTCTGAATTTTCTTCCTTTTTCTTCTTCCTTCCTTTATTTCTCTTGTTCTTTGTTTCTGCATTTCTTTCTCTTTACTTTTTTTCTTTCAGTGGGTCTTGCCCTCCCCCCATTTCTTTCCTTTCTTTCTGTGATGGGGCGTACCAACCCTGCACAGGGGCTGGTTTCCTGGCTGAGAAGGCCCTGCCTCCACAGTCCTACTGGATATGCTCCACGTGGAGTCCAGCGGTAAGGGACCTTGGAGCAGCTCCGTCAGGAGTGACTGCCGCTGGGGAAGGAGGTGCTGTTAGAGCTCCTGTGGAAGAGCTGCAGATGGACCAAGCAGAGCTGGTCAGTCAATGGGGAATTGCCAAAGAAGCCCTCAGTCCAGAGGAAAAAGTCAAGGAAGATTGCAACAGCGAGCCTAGTAGGAAGTAGCTCGAGCTAGTGGTGGACCACTCAAGGCCATCTTTCTTTTTCCTTCTATTTTCTTTTAATCTTTTTTCTTTTTTCCTTTTTTCTTTTCTTTTATTATCTTTTCTTCCTTTCTACCTTCCTATTTTTTCTTTTCTTTCTTTATAATCCATCCTTACTTTTTTCTTTTCCCTTCCTTCCTTTTTATCTTTTTTCTTATGGTTTTGTCTTTTCCCTTCTTTCTTTGTCGCCTTCCTTTTCACATTTGACCTTTTTTTCTTTCTTTCTTACCTTTTTACTTTTCTTCTTTTCTTTCCTTTTTATTTATATTTTATTTCCTTCCTAT